TCACGTTCCTCGATCTGCTGGCAGTGTGACTGTGTGATTTGCTTAAGGTCACACAGGAAGCATATGGTGAAGCAGGAAATTGAATCAAGGTTTCCAGAGTCCCAGGCTAGCACTCTAACCACTAGACATCATTCCTAGCACTGAATTATCCTTAATTTTCATGCCACCTGCTGAAGACAATGGGGGCTTTCTATGCACAGTGCAGAACAGAATTTGGTTTCCTATCTGTCTCTCTTATAAGGTGTGTGTGCACCACACAGTGGGTTTGTTCATGGGCAGAGGGGGATTTAAATAGTAAGAAACATCTTTTGGAAATATGTCGCGTTATAGATTGCCTTTACATCTAGTGGTAGAGAGGAGAATAATGTTTTTCTCTTTGTATGCCATTTATCAACAAGCACAGTGGCTCAGAGCAATTTTGTTCTCTCCTCATGTCCCAGGTGTCCCAAAATAGATTTTTCACTTCTGCCAGCTGGAGTGAGCTTTGGAACACTACCTGATGCTTGGTCTTGATGAGTTGCTCTTTATTGACGGTGTAAGTATTCATTCTTATACCACTGGGGTGGAGAATGAGAGTTGTCCTACAAAGTGACCCTTTCACTCATCTGTTCCTTTCAGTATGTACTATTCCTTAGGTAAACCAAAGCATAGGCAGGCAAGGAAGCTTTTTGATCATCAGCATTAAGTTACCCATCAAGAACAAATGTCAAGAACTTAGGACCCAATCCTGCAAGGTGCAGAGCTCCCTCCATTCCAAAGGAAAGGCTGATCTTGCACATTCTGAAGTCAATCATGAAGTCAGTGAGAGAGAAGGGCATGTAGCATGTTGTGAGATCAGACACTTAATTGTGTGGGTTAAACAATGAATATCTGTGAGGTGATTACAGATACAGGCCTTCAAGATTTTAAAATCAGCAGTAATTACTAAAACATTTGCAATCATTCTAGGAGTCACAGACATCATACCTGGTATTTTAATGGTTGTGTTACATCAAGGAAGATACCAAAGTGGTGTTTGTGCTTTCGTGCAATCTCATGAATCAAATAAACTGTCATGTACTATTGTTACTCCTTCTGGTATTTGTAGGTATTGGAAGGAACATGAATTTGCTCAGAATGTAACAGATGTTTAGCTTGTCTAAAAGCTATAAACATGAGGTACATTAAGAGGAAAAAAACAGTGTTTTCTTAATATATTGCGTAGCCCCCTCTCTTCAAAATATCATTATTCAAATCTTGAGTCTGAAAGCTTTTTAAACATAGATGCTTCCTGCTTAGCTCATTACATTTTCATCTGGTAACCTAATTTCACAAATAGTAATATGCTTTTTATAGGGAGAAATAGAAATAAAAATAAAACAGCAACAAAAATATTTTAACTGTGTGGATGCTTTCAGCTTCTCCTAAAATGTTTAAACAGGCTCTATATAAAGTACAACAGCAGGCTCTATATAAAAACAAACAACCCCCCCAACCTCCCTGTTCATTTTAATTCAAATTTTGTGTAGAAGCCTTTTTAATGAATCTCATCTGAGTTTCATCTGAAAGAAAAGTAACACCTGATTCAAACATTAGTATCTGAACATTTACATGTTACAATTCATCTGAGTATAGTGACCTACATTCACCAATTTACATCCACTGGGGATTTAGCCCTTTATATAGAATGATAGCTGCTGAAAGAACATGAATCCTGACTTCTCATTTCTTCTAATATATATTGACATGCTATCTTTTCTTTTTGCTCTAATATATTCCTGAGAAATCCAGTGAAATACAGCTAGTGAATACCATTTACTTTAAAAAAAAATCGGCTCCAAATGAACCTGATCAAATATAGAAAAACATTTATATAGATAAAGGCATGTTTTGTGTGATATTACTCAGTCAAGTTTTCAATTTACATTTGGTTTTATATTTTTCATTTGATATGCACTTTTAACATTTGATGTGATAAAAATGTTTGTCAGGCTTCATGTTTTCTCATTTGCTTTGTTGATGGTACTGCAATATGAATACAATTGCAGAATTCTGATACAATCTCAAAGCAAGTAAACAGAAGGTGATGGAAATATATTTTTGAAAATGTCAATCCTGTCAGCATAGCTGCATGTTTAAAAATATAAATCTTATTATTGATGATTAGATTGCTAGAAATACATAAATCTCATTCCTGCATTATTTTTCCTCCAAATTCCCATATTTAAGTTAATAAAAATTTTGGGTGCATGGGAATGTAGAATCAGTCCCAAAGAGTTTCTCTCATCCACATTTAATTTTTAAGACATGGGAAAAAATTAGTGTGTATGTGTATCAGTACATTTTCCATAATGGGAATTTGGAGGGAGAGATCATTGAGTTTGTTACAAGTGATAAATGGCCAAAAATGCACAAAAACAGCTGGTGTGAAGAAAATGCAATTCTCTTGAAAGTCTGTGAACCAAATTCAAAAGTTACATAAAAAGAGGAGTAAGTTGTACATCACTTGTAAAACTAGTCAGAAAAAAGAGGGAAGTGGCAAAATAGTGCAACTTGCATTTATTTGATATTCATTGTATTGCAAAACAGTGTAAGGGCTTGTCTACACTGTAAGTTAGTGTGCGGCAAGTTGGTGCACTGTAGATTCACTCTGTGGCTTGCTGCCTAACTTGCAGACAAGACCAATTCACATGCAGGGGTGAAATTCTGGCCCACTAAAGTCAATGGCAAAACTCCCACTGACGTCAGTGGGGCCAGGATTTTTTCTCCTGAGGTGGAGTGTGTGGGGTTGTCTGGGGGAGAGGCAAAATTAGGCTGAGGACATGACCATTTTTATGGCATCCTTCTTCAATCCCACTGCCATTGTGAAATGTCTCATAGACTCATAGACTCATAGACTTTAAGGTCAGAAGGGACCATTATGATCATCTGGTCTGACCCCCTGCATGCTGCAGGCCATAAAACCGTCC